GGAAGGTGGGGAGTGGGGGTCCCCTCCCAGGGAAGGCGGGGAGTGGGAGTCTCCTCCCAGGGAAGGTGGGGAGTGGGGGTCCCCTCCCAGGGAAGGCGGGGAGTGGGAGTTCCCTCCCAGGGAAGGTGGGGAGTGGGGGTCCCCTCCCAGGGAAGGTGGGGAGTGGGAGTTCCCTCCCAGGGAAGGTGGGGAGTGGGAGTCCTCTCCCAGGGAAGGTGGGGAGTGGGAGTCCCCTCCCAGGGAAGGTGCGTCTGCTTTGTGGTCCTGCAGCTGCTGCATCACGGGAGCCTCGCCGGTCACATGGGTGCCAGCTCTCCAACCCTCGTCTCTCCTCTTTTTATCTCTAGTCGTTCTTCGTGGACCATAACAGCCGTGCGACAACCTTCATAGACCCTCGTATCCCGCTGCAGAACGGCCGTCTGCCCAACCACCTGACGCACAGGCAGCACCTGCAGCGACTGCGCAGCTACAGCGCAGGGGAGGTATGCGGTTCGGTGGGGGGGGGTTCTGGTGGCCCCAGGAGCCGCACCAATTCATGCCACTAGACAGAGGTTCTACTCACATAAAACATTCTTGGTGCTCCATATTTTTCCAAATTTATGTTAGGATTTAAGTTTCATAAGTATCTTTGATTGTTTCTTGTCCTCACATAAATACGAGCTGGTGTTTCCCCAGCACTGTGCTGCTGTCTCCTGCATGCTCTGCCTCCCTCCCAGGAGTCTGTCCCGGCGCCCCATGCGCGTCTGCTGAGCGTGTGTGTGCCATGACTCATGCGCTCCATGCGTGTCTGCTGAGCGTGTGTGTGCCATGACTCATGCGCCGATGCGGCTCTGCATCCCACAGTAAAATTGTGAAACTCTCTTGGTTGCCTGTTAAATGAGACTCACCACCCCAGCACTACTCATAAAGATGGTGACACTGTTTACCCCCAACGGCCCCTTTGCCCTACAGGCATCAGAGGTGTCCCGGAGCCGCGGCGCCTCCCTACTGGCCAGGCCTGGTAACAGCCTTGTGGCAGCCATACGGACCCAGCACCAGCAGGACTCCGCTGTTCCTCTCGGTATGTTCTGGAAGGTTCCATCTCTATTTATGCTGCATTGTATTGGGTATGGGGGCTGGGCTCTGCTTCCCCACCAGGGTGCCGTGCTGATGGGGGGGTCATACTCTTGTCATTCTGGTGACAGCCAAGTGCATCACAAGCACACTGGTGACCCCAGGGATTGGTGCTCAGGGAGCCTGCAGACGGAGGAGCACCTGCAATTGACCGTTATTATATGAGGTTCAGCCCTCATGGTGGTGCTGTCCTCAATTCTCCCATCTGCCCACAAGAATTCACACACAGTCCCTGGTCAGGCCCTCTGCGGCATCTGCAGTGATGCCCTGACAGTAATTACCATTTACATGCAGTCTGTTTGTGTCTGTTTATAATTTACTGAAACCCGGCGTCATACCTGAAGTTTGGGATGTAAATGTATGCTAACTCACCCTGAAACAACGATGTCTGAGGTGCTCCGTGGGGGTCAGAGCCCCCACGCTGCCGTCCAGGTGCCTGAGGTGCTGCAGCATCGCCCTGGGGGTCACAGCCCCCACGCTGCCGTCCAGGTGCCTGAGGTGCTGCAGCATCGCCCTGGGGGTCACAGCCCCCACGCTGCCGTCCCGGTGCCTGCGGTGCTGCAGCATCGCCCTGGGGGTCACAGCCCCCACGCTGCCGTCCAGGTGCCTGATGTGCTGCAGCATCGCCCTGGGGGTCACAGCCCCCATGCTTCTATCCAAGGCACTTGGCCAGATGCTTCGTACAGCCGTCCGCTGTGGCACTGGACTCCACGTGGCTTTACAGTAGCTCTGCTCTATTTCTCCAGCCTACAACGACAAGATCGTGGCATTTCTGCGGCAGCCCAACATCCTGGAGATGCTCCAAGAGCGGCAGACCAGTCTGGCCAGGAACCACACACTGAGGTACGCAGGACCAGTCGTCGAACTACAGCAGAACATGCTGACACGTCAACAAAATACACAGCAGACTTGGTATCAGGAATCCATGGCTTTAATTCTTTCATATGAATTGCTTTAGTTCTTAAGGAATCTGTGTAATGACTCTGTGTAAAACAGCATTCACACAGCATGGCTGTGATATACTGTGTCACTTGCTGGACATAAGACAGCATTAGAGTAAGAACACGACAGTGAGCTGGCAAGCAATGTCTGCCTTGAAAGATGTGCCCTGGATGCTGTGTCTCACGTGGTGGCAGGGAGAAGATCCACTACATCAGAACAGAAGGCACGCATGGCCTGGAGAAGCTGTCCTGTGACGCAGACCTGGTCATACTGCTGAGGTGAGGCTCCTGCATGCTCAGCGTTCCTCACTAGCTTTGGAGCCTCTTTGAAGGAGTATTTCTGGTTCCCTTGACTGGTTCCAGTTTGAGGGTTTGAATGCTCTGAAGGGGTCACGTATTATCCTTACTACTGAGTTTGAGCAGCTCTCTGCAGAACCAACTAGTTTTTTCCCCCATGGACATTGATCATCATAAACTCATCATCATACACTGATCATCCTACACTGATCACTGACACTGATCATTATACATTTATGCCTGACACTTATAATCATACGCTGATCATCATACGCTGATCACTGACAATGATCTTCATACATTGATCACTGACACTGATCATTATATTAGTGAATATTTGTACTAACCAACCGAAAAACTGCTCTGACCTGCTTGACTTGCCAGTGATTCTGTTGCCATTAATCTGTCTGCTTTTTTTTCTGGGACCCCAACCCCAGCCTGTTTGAGGAGGAGATCATGTCCTACATTCCACTACACCCCTTTCACCCCGGGTTTGGCTTTTCACCACGATGCTCGCCGGGTTCTTCACCGCAAAACTCCCCAGGTCAGTAAATATGATGATGATGATGATGATGACAATGATAATGATGATGACAAGGACTATGATGACGATTGTGATGGTGATGAAGATGACGGTGATGATGATGATTATGACAAGGATTATGACAGTGATTGTGATGATGATGACGGTGATGATGATGGTGATGATGATGACGGTGATGATGATGGTGATGACCCATTTTCAGGAATATTATTTCCTCCGGAGAAGCCAGTAGATTGTTTAGTTCACATCAAGCAGCATGTAATGTACAACATTGTCTCCCTAACCCTCCTCCTTCCGGATTTCTGAAATTTGCCAAAAGGTAATTCCCTGCCCGTAGCTTCCGGGAGGGGCTCCCGGACCCCTGTGTCCCGGCTCAGGACAAGCAGATACAGAAAGTGGATGGATGGATGGATGGAAATAACCCCATTGTTGACTGACATCATTATTCTATTGGTCCTCTCCTGTCAGTTTTCCCAAAGTACCGAACATCAAAGCAGTTACCGATATATTTATTTTTGCTACAAGACTAAAGCAAACCGTCACAACACAAATGCCAGGTTTGCCTTCAAAGGTCCCATAATGCCAGTGTAATGAATGGAGAAGCTGGAACTCCCAGAAACCCAGTGCAAATGAGCAGGGCTAAAAAAGGATCCCCAGAACGTGGCCAGTCGCGTCTCTCTGTGCTGTTTTGGTGATGGATGTGACCTACAAAAGCACTGCTCTAGTGCCTGTAATGGAGTTACTCTTCTGATTACAGCTCTGCTCTGCTGCTTTTTTCTGACTGTCAGGTCAGCCTCTGTGTGGGGCTTGATGCTGAGATGTTAAGCTGTGGTTGGGTGACTGTGGGCTTTCTCTGTGTCGGCAGGGCTGCAGAGGGCCAGGGCTCCGGCTCCCTACCGCAGAGACTTTGAGGCCAAGCTCCGGAACTTCTACAGGAAGCTGGAGGCCAAGGGTTATGGCCAGGGGCCTGGGAAAATCAAGTAAGCCCCGTCACTGAATCCAGTATTGACACTACTGTGCTAGTAGGCCTATGGTCCTAGAGCAGCAATCAGGGCCTGTCAAGCCAGACAGTACATTTGTGGGTCAGATCCTGCATGGATGATGCATATTGTACCATTAAGAAGGTTTAATCTATTCCAGTCAAGCACTAAAGAAGTTTATAAATTCAAATCCAGTTTGACTGATGGAAGTGAATGGATGCCTTGGGAGGATATTATGCTCTGTTCCATTGACCTTGGAGGTAGGAAGTCGGAGCCGGGAATGATGTCACACCCGAGCTAACCGTTTTTCAGTGCAATAAGTCAGAAAGCCACTTAGCAATACCAGGGACTTGTTTCAAACAGTAGGATTTTCTGCTTGGACACCTTGTGGGATTTATATACCCCATTCAAAATGGCCTCTAGCTTAGTTTAAATACATAATAATAATAATAATAATAATAATAATAATTGATAATAATAATTTATACTTTATTGATCCCCATGCCCATTGCTCTTTGCAGAGTAAGTTGTCCGCGAAGGGCAGCCACCTGTTGGGGCGCCCAGACATTTAGCCCAGACTGCCTTAAATCCCGCAAGTTATCTAGCTAAGTAAGAAATCCTTCTTTCTGAAACAGGTCCCAGTTTAAGCCAGGTTTATTGTTAGCCATTGTTAGCAATACTAGTTGATAACAGCACATTTTGCACATACAAACACTGTAGCAACATGTCCACAGATAGCAGCTGGACAGTCTGTGTGTATGACTGATTTAATGAAACATAAATAGAGATAAGTGCTAATAAACAGTATATAACTACAGTTTTCACTTCTGCTGACAAAGGGTGCAGCCATCTTGAATTCTGAGCTCAGGGTTGCAAAGGGTCTTCCAACTTTCCCAGTCAGAATTCCAACTTCAAGGGGCATTCCAGTTGAAATTTCTAACTAGGAACTCGGAATATTTCCAACTTCCAAGTTCAAATGGAACACAGCATTAATAATCTGATGAAGTGAGGACCAAACGAAAACACTTTTGCAGGTCTTACTGCTTTTCACTGAAGCTCTATGCTAGATGCTCTTTCAGTCATGGCCTGGCTTGGCCTGTCCTGATAGGAACGTTGACCAGAGGAACGCCTCGCTCCCTGCCGTGTTGCTAAGACCACGTCAGGTCTAGCGTGTCCGGCTAGGTGTCAGGCTCCACAGCATCCTAACGATGATTCTGTTCCAGGCTTATCATCAGACGAGATCACTTACTGGAGGGCACCTTCAACCAGGTGATGGCCTACTCTCGTAAGGAGCTCCAGAGGAACAAGCTCTACATCACATTTGTTGGAGAGGAAGGGTATGAATCCAGGCTGGTTTCGTATAGATGCTCGGCTCTTGGTGCATTAACATTATCAGAGATTCTGTCTCAGTACGTCAGGTATCCGACCTTCTGTTCTTAGAAGGAGTTCCCTGCTTAGTGAACATTACCCCCCCCCCTCTCCACAGTCTCGACTACAGCGGTCCATCACGGGAGTTCTTCTTCCTGCTGTCCCAGGAGCTGTTCAACCCTTACTATGGCCTGTTTGAGTACTCTGCCAATGACACGTACACGGTCCAGATCAGCCCCATGTCGGCCTTCGTGGAGAACCATCTGGAATGGTGAGGAGTGCTGCTCGCGCTGCGGAGCTGGTAACGGAACCCTCTTTTCCGGCACAGTGCTGGTTCTACAGCACATTGACACATTCTTATACCCACAAAAGGCTCAGCTGTCAGGGCTCAGAACATTCTAGAAATGACAATTCCTAATGTAGTACCGTTCAAATGCACGTGATATAGATTCTAGTTAATAAGTGCTTATTATCAGTTCCAGCTGCATAATCAGAAATGTAGTGTCTAACTGAAGCCTCTCCTTTTGAAACGTCCCTGTAGAAGGGCTTCTGTAAGTTTACCTCCTTTCCTGAACTGAAGCCCACATCGATTATGCAAGTAAAGCACCTTTTGAGAGATTTTCTGTCATTTTGACAGCCCTCCAAGACTGGGAATCATAGCCTGTTGTTACTCACATATTTTAACTATAGTCTCAATGGACTGTAGAATATATAGTATTATAGAATATCTGTAATAACATAGATTCACGTTTTCCCTGGCCCGGACGCGGGGCGCCCCCCTGGGGCCAGGCCTGGGGGTGGGGCTCGATGGCGAGCACCCGTGGGGCCTGGCTGGGCTCAGCCCGAGGAAGGAACGTGAAGAAGGAAGCAGAGTCTGAGGACTTGTTATATGAATTTAGCTTTAGTTTGGCTGAAATTCGAAACTCTTAGTTCTACAGGGCTGGAGTGATTACCTGGGGATATTTAGGACATTGGACTCGGTAGAGTCTTCAGAATAAATGTTCTTTCTATGATATTTCCTTTACGAGATACAAGCGTTTTTGCTGGAGGAGTCCTATTCCACGACTGACTCATGCTGACATTTTGCCCTCAGTGAAGCCACTTGGGGAATACAAACATGGCACTGTTTACCTGGAACTAAGAAGGAGGCTCTCAGTTCTTTATTGGTCTATAGCTCTGTCAATCAATACAGAATTGACTCATTTACGGACTTTGGCTTGACCTGATCACAGTCTACACATTTCTTTTCCCAAGCAAACCCACTTCTTCTTTTTCTATAATGTTAGCATGCCCGGGGGGGTTGGGCAGTGAGTTGACCTCTGACCCCCAGAGGTTTTTTTCTCTCTTCTTGGGAGTTTTTGGTTCCTCTCCTCCATTGTCACCTGGCTTTCTTTCATTCATTTCTTTGTCTTTCCATTTCCCTGTTTTTGTATTTTTTTTTTCCTTTGTGATGCTGTACTGTATCACAACTCACCTATGTAAAGTGTGCTATACAAAAATAAATTGAATTGTATTGAATCAGGACCTGTAAAATAGCCAGTGGGTGTAGTCGGGTTTTTAGCTTAGCTGGATAATTGTCGTATTTAAGGTAGTCTGGGATAAATGTAAGTGAACGAAGATAAATTCCACTTAAACTAGGGTATCCGAAATTTGACATGCGACTAAGCAAGAATTCCAGTTTTGTGATACAGGCCCCTGTTCTCTCCTTAGTTTAGGGGACCCCAGATAGACTGTTACAGACACACTCACAACAGACCAGGGGTGAGTTTCTCGAAGCCTTCTTAACGCTATGTCATTCGTAAGTTCTATCTTTTAATACAGAACTTACGAACGATGTAGCGTTAAGAAGGTTTTGAGAAACCATGCCCAGAACAAAGGTGATTTTAGGAATTACAAATGTTTTTCCTGTTAAATTTTATTTACTTTACTTGCGAAGAAATGTAGAAAAGGCTGCACCCTTTGTCATCTACACTTAGCGGTATTAAATTTAGCAGAAGCTATTTGGTCTACTAACTGTTTTCGAAGTGCGCAGAAGTGCTCGTCTGCTAACAAAAAAGTTGGCTTTGCTAATTAGTGAATTATTGAAACTCTGCCCACCACTGAGTATTGATTACCTGACCATTAAGGTGTGCTGTGTTCTGTATAGATGCCCAATGCAATCATTTGTGCTGTGAAGCCATAATGGGATAGCAGAGCAACATGTCTGGGGGTTACTCAGCTGGTCCGGGACACTAGGAGCAAGGAGTCAGGGCCCTCTGCTGTCTGCCCCCCTCCCCAGGTTCCGCTTCAGTGGCCGCATTCTGGGCCTGGCGCTGATCCATCAGTATCTGCTGGATGCCTTCTTCACCCGCCCCTTCTACAAATCCCTGCTCAGACTGTGAGTGATCGTCATGATGCGCTCTGCCGTGCCGTGTCAATGTAACCGAACACAACACATTCCAATCTGTGAGTGATCTTCATGATGCGCTCTGCCGTGCCGTGTCAATGTAACCGAACACAACACATTCCAATCTGTGAGTGATCTTCATGATGCGCTCTGCCATGCCGTGTCAATGTAACCGAACACAACGCATTCCACAAGTTAGAATTACACTCAAATTCAAGATTTCTATTAAAAGCTAAAAGCACATCTGAGTATATAGGTACATTTAGACGGTGTGTGTATTTGATACAGGCTTTCTGTTGAAACTGCACTGCTTAGGAAAGCTCTTTACTTTGTAGATCAACAGATCTAAGTGACCTAGAGTATCTGGATGAGGAGTTCCACCAGAGTTTACACTGGATGAAGGACAACGACATCACAGACATTCTGGACCTGACCTTCACTGTGAATGAGGAGGTCTTTGGTCAGGTGAGATAAATGAGATCACAGACATTCTGGACCTGACCTTCACTGTGAATGAGGAGGTCTTTGGTCAGGTGTGATAAATGACATCACAGACATTCTGGGCCTGGTCTTCACTCTGAATGAAGAGGTCTTTGGCCAGTAAGATGGATGACATCACAGACGTTCTGGGCCTGACCTTTACTGTGAATGAAGAGGCCTTTGGCCAGTGAGATGGATGACATCACAGACATTCTGGGCCTGACCTTTACTGTGAATGAAGAGGCCTTTGGCCAGTGAGATGGATGACATCACAGACATTCTTGACCTGACCTTCACTCTGAATGAGGAGGTCTTTGGCCAGGTGAGATGAATGAAATGACAGACATTCTGGGCCTGACCGTCACTCTGAATGAGGTCTTTGGTTTGGTGATATCCCAGACAATTTGAGCCTGACCTTGTCTGTGAATGAGGAGGTCCTTGATCAGGTGAGATGAATGACATCACAAATATTCTGGGCCTGACCTTCACTTTGAATGAGGAGGTCTTTGGTCAGTGAGATGAATAGCATCACAGATATTCTGGGCCTGACCTTCACTGTGAAAGAGGAGGTCTTTGGACAGTGAGGTTACACGTTTCACAGATGTCTCTACATGTGCCGTGGTCTGTATCTTTGTACCTTCCATTCCAGGTTACAGAGCGGGAGCTGAAATCAGGCGGCGCCAACCTGCAAGTGACCGAGAAGAATAAGAAGGAGTACATCGAGCGCATGGTGAAGTGGCGGGTGGAGCGGGGCGTGGTGCAGCAGACCGAGGCTCTCGTCCGGGGCTTCTACGAGGTACGGTGGCTGGGTGGAGGCTGTCTGGATGACCTCCTCCCGATTCAGAACCCACAGACTGCTCGTGGTGAGGCACCAAACCCAGCCCTAACCAGCCACGTCGCCCTATCCCTGCCCAGGTGGTGGACTCCCGCCTGGTGTCTGTGTTTGATGCCAGAGAGCTGGAGCTGGTCATTGCTGGGACGGCGGAGATTGACCTCAATGACTGGAGGAACAACACAGAGTACAGAGGAGGTAGGTGTGGGAACCAGCGTACCGAAGTGAATCATCTAGAACCTTTCCAGGTTCTGTGTGAGCTGTGCTTATTCTCTCATGTACTGCCTAGTGACCACTGTATACCCAGCCCATGCTGTACTGCTTTTCTGTGTGTTTTAAACAGCTCTTAGTTGTTAATTAAACTCAGCTCCCCAATGAATCAGATTTTGGCTGTGATTCCAGAGGTGTTTGTGAAACTTTCTGAAGGATACAGTTTGAGAGAATTCCATAAATGCAGGGCTGGGGGGGTAGATCCTGCGGGCCTCACCATCTCGGATACAGTGAGCTGAGCATTATGGGACACTGTGCGGCTGTAAGTTATTGGTTAACAGGTTAGCCCCTCCTCCGCAGGATACCACGACGGACACATCGTGGTGCGCTGGTTCTGGGGTGCGGTTGAGCGCTTCAACAATGAGCAGCGGCTGCGGCTGCTGCAGTTTGTGACAGGCACGTCCAGCGTGCCGTATGAGGGCTTCGGCGCTCTCCGTGGCAGCAACGGCCTGCGGCGCTTCTGCATCGAGAAGTGGGGCAAGATTACCTCCCTGCCCAGGTGACCCACCGTGCACCCAGACCTCAATCTCACCAGCCGCTCTCCCTCACTGCCAGTTCAAACTCACCATCCGCTCTCCCTCACTGCCAGCTCTCCCTCACTGCCTGTTCAAACTCACTGCCCGCTCTCCCTCACTGCCAGTTCAAACTCACTGCCCGCTCTCCCTCACTGCCAGTTCAAACTCACTGCCCGCTCTCCCTCACTGCCAGTTCAAACTCACTG